TCTAGCAACGGGTTTATCCCATTTTGAGCTATAAAATGGCACCCAAATCCTCTCATTTTACACACAATTCTTCAACATTTCAATACTCTTTCATTGCATAAGCATTCCTATCTTTTCTTAGCTATTTGAGAGCCAATTCTTGAAGAAATTGTCGTGTTCTTGAGCGTTTACTAGTTCACTCATATCTACTCTTTGTGAGAGTTTTATTCCTCAGTGTTTAAGTGTTTTCATACACTTTAAGGGAGGTTGTTCCCTTGTTGTAAACTCAAAGGTAGTTCCTTGTTCCTTCGTGAGAAGTCTTGGAGTGCGGTATCTCCGAGCAAAGGAGTTTGAGGCTCGTGGGACTCGGGTTCTCAAGTTGTATCGGTTTGTTAAGCACCCTTAAGCTTAACGGAGTTAGTGTAGCTCGAGAGGGCCTCTCGGGACACTGGATTAGCCACACGTTGTGGTGAACTAGGATAAAATTCGGTGTGCTCCTTCCTTACGCTCTTTACTTTAACGCTCTCGTTTTAATTTCCTGCGATCCCCTTGGGCCTTTATTCTAACAATTGGTATCAGAGCCATACTCTCTGAAAGACTTAACTGTTTGAGAGAAATGATCAATGGCTTCTACTCAAAGTTCATACGCAGGTTTAGGTGAAGGGAAATCCACCACGAGGCCTCCGTTGTTTGACGGAACAAACTACACCTATTGGAAGGAGCGGATGAGGATTTACATCCAATCCACCAACTTTCTCCTTTGGAGAATTATCAAAAACGGTGAAGACGTGCCAATGAAGAAGGTCGGGGAAACCAACGTCCCTAAGACCGAGAATGAATATGATGCACAAGACATCAAGAAAGTGGAAAACCGGATGACTATTGTGTCGTTAACCCGGATGACTACCGGAAGATTTCTTGTTGCACCACCGCGAAGGAAATGTGGGACAAACTAGAAATCACCTACGAAGGTACGGATCAAGTCCGAGAAGCTAAAATTGATTTTCTAACCCATGAATATGAATTGTTTCGTCTGAAGGAAAACGAGAAAATCAATGAGATGTTTGAACGATTCTCCAAAATCGTAAATGATCTTCATGCTCCTCAAGAAGACGTACACGGACAAGGAGCTTGTGAGAAAAATCCTGTGAAGTCTCACACCAGAATGGCGCTCCAAAGCCGATGCCATCCAAGAGTCCATCGGCATCACCAACGTCACCATTGACGGGCTTAGGGGTAACCTCAAAACCTATGAGTCCACCATTCTATACCCTTCTTTAGGTGAACAAAAGAAAAAGGGGATTGCACTCAAGGCTACCTCAAGTCAAGAACCCGCCATGGAGGAATCAAGCGATGAGGACAACGAGTTCGGGCTCGTCATCAAAAAGTTCCACAAGTTCATGCGAAAAGAGTATGAACGAAAGGGCAAAAAGCATGTAGAACCACCCAAGTGCTATGGGTGTGGAGAAGTTGGGCACATCAAGCCAAAATGCCCAAATGCCAAAAACGAGAAAGAGAAGAAACCGTTCAAGAAGCACCGAGCTTACATTTCATGGGGAGGTGATTCCGGCGAAGAGTCATCGGAAGGCGAAGAGAATGAAAGCGCCAACCTTTGCCTCATGGCACACGAGGAACCACCGGAAGAGGTATGTACCACTTTTAAAGATTCCTATACTTTGGATGATGTACAAGAAGCTTTTAATGAACTCTATGATGAATATGTCAATGCTTCTAAAATCAACAAGGATTTAAAGAAACAACTTACTTCCATGGAGAAGGAAGTTGATAAATTATCAAAAGATAATGAAAAACTCAAGGAAGAAAATAAGTTTTTCAGAAAAAGAAGCGCCGACAAACCGGAGAGTTCAAAATGTAGTTCATGTACATCACTTAAAGAACAAGTTTCAAAACTTGAAGGAACCTTAAAGAAGTTTGGTGTTTCTCACAAAAATCTCAATGATGTTCTTGATAATTTGCAACTTACTAAACATGGCTTAGGATTTGAAAATGAAACCAATAATAAGGAAAAAGTTGAGCAACCACCTAAACAACCTAAGGCTCAACCTAGGAAAACTAAAATGAACAATAATAGACAACCTACATCAACCAGGAACACTAGACCATCTAGAAAGAACTCTAGGATAAACAATGGTCAAGATAGAGAACCTAGAAACCATTTTCCAAATGTGCATAAACAGAACTTTTCTCAAACTAGGGTCAATCAATATAGAAAACCTAGTAACTATTATCAACCTAGGAGAATGCATAATCCAAATGTTATTTGTCATTATTGCAATAGGGTAGGACATGTAGCCCCGGTTTGTTTCACTAGGCATAGGTATTGCACTCAAAACCAATCACACTACCAACGTGCACCTAACGCCCAAGGACCCAAAAGGAATTGGGTACCTAAATCTTTTTAAATTGATTTGTAGGTGTGCTTGAAGGCATCAAGTGTACTTTGGTACCTTGATAGCTGATGCTCCAAGCACATGACCGGAGATGCATCCAAGTTTTTGCAAATAAAACCAACTAAAAGAGGAAACGTTGTCTTTGGCGATAATAGCAAAGGCAAGATAATCGGCATTGGTTCGGTTGGTAAAAACAAAAACTCCTCTATTGATAATGTTTTGTTGGTTAAGGGTCTTAAACACAATCTCTTGAGCATAAGTCAATTGTGTGACAAGGGAAATCGTGTGACCTT